TATATTAGTATATATACTGCCCTATAGTTTGGGATCAGTAAGTTTTTTTTTAAATGTTTTTAAAGCAGTTTCATCTGCTCATCAAGGCTAAATTTATTTGAACAAAAATACAGAAAAAAACTGTAATATTGTGAAATATTATTGCAATTTAAAATAATGGCTTTCTATTTTAATATATTTTAAAATATAATTTATTCCTATGATCAAAGCTGAATTTTCAGCATCATTACTCCAGTCTTCAGTGTCACATGATCCTTCAGAAATCATTCTAATATGCTGATTTATTATCAGTGCTGGAAACAGTTGTGCTGCTGGAACCTGTGATACTTTTTTTCCCCCAGGATGCTTTGATGGATAAAAAGATAAAATAACAGCATTTATTTAAAAGCTTTTGGAACAATATACAATACCGTTTAAAAGTTTGGGGTCAGTAATTTATTTATTTTTTTTGAAAAAAATTAATACTTCAGGAAGGATGTGTTAAACTGATAAAAAGTGATAGTAAAAATATTGTTAGAAATATTGTTAGATTGTTAGGGGGAAAAAAGTAACAGTTTTGATTGGTAGTCTCTATATACTGAATGAAATATATATATTACTTGGAGGATGTTAACTATAAATATCTCTGTTTTCTCAATCAACAGGCTCAGGAAGAAATTCAGTCACGCCCCACTCAAGGAATCTCTCTGACCCAAAGCCACGCCCCCATGCAAAATAAACCCGCCCACCAGCCCTCCGGCTCTGCTCCAAACCAGGATGCCGGCCAGAGGAAGAGGCTGGTGTCAACCATCGACGATTTCACGGACTTTGTCTAGCGAGAGACCCGTGACGTGTTTTTAACTGAGACCAATAGACGCTGCATTCCCATAAGTCCAGACGAACAAATCCATTCCTGAATGTGGAGGGCTGTGAGGTTTGGTGTTAGTAAGATTTGATCACCTTTAAAACACCCCAGTGTGCCAAGTAAGAGATCAGTTCAGCCGGGACGCAGCTTCACTCAACGCTGTGACTGTAGGAATGAATTTCACAATGCCCTGCTCCGTCTGCTGAAAGATGGATGTAAACGCCCGCACTGGCTTTATCACATGCCATTTTTAGCAGTACGACTAAATTGCACACGGTTAACACGCTTTCGTGTCTCTGCCCATTTTCATCCACACGTTTCTTTCTCTAGAACAAACTTGTATTCACACACTCATTTTCTCTTGTTGTTTTTCTCTGAATATATGAAAATGGTATGTGATATTAACCGTCTAGTCATTTTGCTTGTTTCCTGTTGTTTTCTGTGTGTGATGGTTAATGCTTATCTAATGAGTTTATAATAGTACAACAGATTTGCAGAACAACAGCTAGTACAGTAGACTGCATCAGACGTGTGTGCTTCGCTGCCAAATAAAACACTGAAATGTGCAAATCCTGCTGTTGTTCTGAGTCTACTTTCACTCTTGAGTAAAACCTCTACATACTTCTGTCAGCGTTTACTGTTGATTAGTTGATTATTTTTTATATATAGCACCTTTCTAAGACACAAGATTGCATTACAATGGAGCAAAATACATCTAGGGCTTCTGAAACATGAAATAGTTAACCCTGGCTTATTTCAAGTTTCACACTGCTCATAATGTACCGAGTTAACAATAAATCCTATTCACGACATGATGTTTCACACTACCTTCCTAAAACCCAGGTGAAGGTTCTTATTTGCATATTTGCGGTGTCAGTGTCATTGATTGGACGAACGCAGCACGTGATCTGTTTAACGGCTCTAGGTTTGGTGCCCTCATATAGCAGCCTACTGCCGACTGCACGAAGTTTCACCTGGGTGGATTCTTCTGAATTTAAAGGTAAGAAATTTACAATTTTCACCATCACCATTAGACATTTTTCTCCTCAAACACTGAAACAACTATTTATACAACGCGCGGCGTTTCCGTGACTGTCCAAAGCACGTGAACAGGAGGCACGTGATTGGGTGTGTTGCTAAACTAGTCATAACATAGTTTCAAACTGTACTTTGGCACAACAAACTCGCCGCTAGCCCTTCTCCGGAGCAAGGTTTCATAACCCCGGTAAAAAGCCGTGCTAACTCCGCTTCTAAATTATGTGAAACGTTCTTTTACCCGAAATTAAAAGCGCGCATGATGAGTGTGAATAGCCCTTATATACAGGGTGAAAAAACCTTCACTATTAGTGTTGGGTAAGTTACTCTAAAAATGTAATTAATTTCTAGCCACTATTACATCTTCAACAGTGTAATAAGGTTACTGTACTAATTGCTTTCTCTAAAAAGTATTGCATTACTTATTACTAATTGCTTATTAAATCAACAAGGATAGACATGAAACTGTTCTTTTAAATATTTAAAATAAATGATAAAAAACAGCATAATTGATTCTTGAACTGACCGACGTATTTAAAGGGAGAAGCCAAGGTTACATTTAAAACATACATTTTAACATTCAATATTAATTTCTGATTTTAAATCCGCTGTTTTATATAGAATTGTTCTATAGTTTAAGGCAGTTACATAAGAAGTAACTAATAAAATTAAGAACAACCCCTTACTTTACTTTTTCAAGGTAAATGTAATTAAATTACAGTGATTACTTAATCATGTGTTACACCCAACACTGACTGCTAACCTAAAACATTAGGAAATAAAAGATGTAGTGTTTCAGTTGTGATTTGAAAGACAAGAGAATGGTGAATCAATATCTTGAATTGAAGCCCCAGGGGAACCACAGACTCTCAGCTGTCAGACTCTTTATTTGACTTTGTCAAGTGCAAAAGCATGTAAAGCGAAGTGCTACAACGTTACAAGTACAACAGCACAATACAACACAAAATGGCAAACCTGCAATCAACACATTACCTTCAGCATTTAATACAAAATATTTAAGACTTTACAATATTGCATGCAAGTATGTTTTGGCACTTGTGACTGGTTTAAAATGGCAGACATTATTTTTTTTTGACACCTAAAAGTATGAAATATTTCAGCAGCAGTACTATCCTGCAAAGAACTACTAAAAAGCCATTATATTTTAAAATGACTGCTTGTGCTGTGTGTAGTTCTGTTGAAAATGTTACAAAAAACAGCAATGCTTTCATACTTTTTGGGTCTTATTTTTTTCCTTTGGCCAGTGCCAGGGAGAAATGAAATATGCAGCAAAGCATTTGTGTGAAATGAGTGTGCATACTGCGATCCATTTTGTGTACTGAAAACGAAACAAAAATTTCTGCTCAGTGCGGTTTAGGCAAACGAGATTAAAACAATGCAATCAAACTCGAAAACAATATTTACATCAGGGCACACCAATATGTACAGATAAACATGACCTTTCAAAAACTCATCTGGAATGGCCTGAATAAGGACGTTACTGTAGTGGAAGTGACATTTGACAGAATCAGAACTCCCTGTAGTGGATATTTTTGAGTGCTTAAGCATAACCTAATCATCAAATCACTCTCAACTACTCTAATTTCATTATACGCGACCTTAATACATGTATTATGATTAAAGCGGAAAAAACAACAACAAACAAACAAAATCCTGCTTTGGGTTTTTTTAAAATAGGGTCCCTGAGCATCATCACGGTAAACAACAATTTAGTACTTCACAAGAGACATTAAATCAACACATTGTAGAAACAAATACATGAAAATTAATGGTAATTACTATCCTGATGCAGCTCATGTATAATACTCAAAGAGAATAGTTCTGGAAAGCCGTATGTGAAGAAAAGTTAAATACTAGTTTAAATATGGCAAAGCACTAATGCTTGACATTGAAATAAAGTGCTAAGTTCAAGAGAAACTTAAGTTAATCTTGTTACTTGAGTAGCAAGCTTTGGCAAAGTTATATGGAGAGTAATTCTGTTGTAACTATCTCTTATATTCGTACCAAGCTTATTTTATTATTTCTGCAAAACATTTTCCATCACACTGATGCCATCACGATCATTCATATTATAACATCAATACAAAGTGCTTTTTAAATTAGATTTAAAATATCATAGAAGGCAGCAACAAACATACTTCCATTTATCATAAGCTGGTTTTTCATTCATTAACAATCTACTTTCAATAATAATGCTTTATGGAACATTGTTTTTACCTGCAGGAATAACATATCCCCATACAGAGAATTCTAGGATTTGTGCTTGAATGAGGGACATACCTTTTTCTTAATGATCTCTCAACATTTTCCTTACTTCACCTAACATTTCATGTCCTACTATTAACTTATTCCAATTTTTTGTCTCCCTTTAAATTCACACTTTCTGATACACTTCCCCTTCTCTGTTTTCATTCTAATTTCATCCTCTCACTCGCCCTCTGGTCTATTTCGCTCTGAGAAACATCTGAATGGAGCTGACATGCAATTATGTCAGAGAAATATATTTGAAATCCTGAGGATTGATTACTAGTTGTTTAGCACCCTGATGGCCTCTTCAGAAGTATGTTAGTGTGAGTGTACAAGTGTAGGTGAATAAATCATACAAGTCCATATATTTTCTGATATGATTTTGTGTCTATTTTTCGCCACTTGCTATTATATTAAGAAGCATGAATTATGCATAAGTACCTTGAAGCATAGCTCAATATTTATGTAATGGCATCAAATATGTACCTGCATGTCTAGGTGTGTTTTTATGTCTGTATGTGTGCAAGTTTGTCAGTGTGAGCCCTTTTTGAATAAGCTGTGCCTTTTCTGCATCGATGGGCAATACATACACCCATGACCTTAATATAGCTTCCTTCAACAACAATACAAAAAAAGAACATGATTCATCAAACATAACTAAAAACATTGTACAACAAATACCATCAAGCTTTAGCCATCCTGCATCAACAGGCGTGCTGTTGTAGTCCTTCATTGTCTCTTTCAAGAGTTTGTTCTGCACTGTGACAGCACAAGGTGTGCTCTTGTCGGTTTCAACCGTGTTGACCACCAGGGTCAACAGGTTGGACTTGAGGTCACTGTGAAAGAAGAAGGAAAAGGGCATCAAGTAGAACTTCTTGAGGATTGTAGAAACCATGGTGACCTGCACCCAATTTCCATTTTGAGACTTCTAGTAAGGCGTTACCAATCGAAAGATGTGTGGGTTGGAACTTAAGGCTAAGGTGTATTATTTGGTTTTAAGCAACTAGTATTGCTTTCGCTCTTCTTGAGGGCCTGGTTACAAAACCTGCTGTCGCCAGGTCCTCCTTTCTTCATGAAAAGCTGTAACCCTTGAGCTTTAACATTCCTTCAGTTCCTAAGCCTTATGACTGAATTCCTAATTCCTGCCTTTTACTTGTGTACTGACTGTTGGAACCTTGGGATCTCAAGGTTTGGGGTGTCCCGATATAGGTCTGTCTGTGTTGGGGTGCACCTTGTTTTTAAGTGGGGGAGGTTTGTGCTTGCGTTTGCGGGTGGGATTCGTAGTAGTGTGTGCAGGGTGCCGGAATACGCTGGAGGGAAGGTTCTCGCTGTTGCTGGGAGGAATCCACCCGTGGGAGCGAGGGATCGGTACGGGGGTAGTTATGGCAGAAACAGGAGCAGCTGAGGAAGCAGATGCTGGAGTGGAAACAGGAGTAGGGACAGGTTTGCTGGCACAGCCAGCAACCTCAGAATCCCTTTGGAAATTTGGGTCCACCTTGTTGAAGGTTCCTTTTACTTTATGAGAAGCTTTGTCAGCCTTTTGGCCTCTGGGTGGACTACTGTTCCCCTCAGGTGGACTTGCTTTGAGGGGACCTGAATCCACCTTGTGAGAGTCTTTCTCAGTCATGCCGACATCTGCCACCACATTACCAGGGGTTTCTTGACTCTTTTGGAGACTATCAGTCCTGTGGGGACTCGAGTCCACCTTATTGATGCTTGTAGGAAGAGCACTTGTGATTTGTGAGAACGTGTCTGATTTCCTTGATCTTCGATCTCTCTTGTGAAGATTTCTCTCAGACGCAGATGCACTTATTTCAGTTCTCGGGGGATATTTACTACTCTCAGCCACTTGTGTGCTCCTGTCTGTCCCCTTGTATCTATGTCTCTTCTGCCCTGCAGACTCCAGACTTCTGTGGCGGCGCACCCCTCTGCCTCGTTCTCTACTCTTCCTCACCAGCCTCTCTAGGCGGCACTCTGTTCGATACAGTTCCTCTGTGGTGTGGGTGACCCGGTCCAGCTGCAGAAGCAAAGCATCAAAAGCTGGGAGGATTCTGCGGAGTGTTGCCTCCATCTCGGCTCTCTCTTTCCAGCCTTGGCCTCCAACTATCACCCCAAGGCCTGTGAGGCCTAGTCCCAGACCTGGGGCTTCAGCCAGACTACAAGGGCTGCTGGATGTGGACCGCCAGGAGGCCTCAGATCCTCCGTCAACACTGTCAGGGGTTGGGGGAGCCTCAGGAGTGTCCAGAGGAGGAAGACACAAGGATTTGCAGTCACTAGTTGAAGAGGAACGTGAAGGAGGGAGCTCCATACCTTCAAATCGCACCTTGTGCCGGAACTGTCGGGGAAGAATACAGGGTCAAGACAAGTGGTAATTTAAAGAGCAAATGTATGGGATGAAAGTTCAATCTGGAGGACTGGTGACTCAACATACTAAAGAGTTGGTAAGAAGCAAGTAGTCATTTTTCCAAAGCAACTTACTAGACACTTTTATAAAGACGATCTCCAGGGAGCAACCTGGGGTAAGGTGCCCTCAAGAGCACAATGTTAACATCTCATGGCTGGTTCTTTGGAGGGCTTGACCAGCAATACACCATTTACACTACCTGAGCTTTAACCGCTATGGCACACCCAGAGTTAATAAGATCCCGCTTTATCAAGACCCTGTGTTTCAGGGGGAATATTTTTGGTCTGCAAATTGCTTTGGATTAAAAGCATCTACTAATGTACTACCAATCTTCAGAAGGGAAAATGGGATCAGTGGATAATTGTGCTATTCAAGTTTGGTTAAGAAACAGTGAATAAACAACAAGTGCCTGAAGTATAATCATCAATTTGTGATTCTGTAAACCTACGTAGAGTTCATAACACATCAGATACTTGCAAGAAGACCTAATTCAAGACACGCTACATTGGTAAAAATTTATATTGCATAAAATAGCAATACCTCTTTAACACGGCTGAGCCCCATCCACATTTTGAGGCGTCTCAGGAACAACTCCACCATTTCATAGTCCTGCAGGTCAACGGCTGGTCGGTACAGTTCTGCCCTTGCCCGATGATAGTTCCTTAGCAGCGCCAAGATCAAAAGCCACAGCAAAACAAGTCTGAGGAGAGTGTAGCTAATGTGGAAGATGAAACAGGAAGCAGAACATGGGGAGGAGCCACTGTCCGGTCGCCATGACAACAGTCCACGACCACTAGAGCCTAGTAACTTCAAGCAAGTAGAGCTAACAGTTCCATAGCCCTCCATGACAGAGTGGAAAAGCTAGAGGGGGAAAAGAGACAGTGCTTGTTTTAAGATTTTACTAAACTTTTTATAAATACGGTTCTGGTCTAAATCCAGAAAAGAAGTATTAAAGTTATTGATCAGAACAGACTGTTTTAAACGGATATAAAATGTTAACTAATGGCTCATAATTGACCCATTAAATATTTAGTAATATTTACCCATTAAATATAAGTCTCTTACATCTTCTTCATCATTTTGCACTTACTTATGTAAACAACCTATAACTTCTTGGAATTTGTATTTAATAATTCATGAAGAAGGAAAGGGTGGTATGTTCAGATCAAAACACAAACATGCATATGCTAATGTGCACATGGGCATAGACAACTGAACCCACAATACTTGAGCGGTTACCAGGGTATTATTAAGAAGAAGCTAAGGCACTGTTATGTGGTTGCTAAGGTGTAGTTGCTAAGCTAAAGTGATGGTTGCTTACTGGCCCCAAGTCAAAAAAGCCCACCCCAAATCTCTATAATACTCTGGTCTATGGTATTTTGCACCTGCTTTAAAAATTAAAAGCACAACTCTCCTTAACAAGCCACAAGATCTGAGCACAAATAGTGCAGAAGTTATGCCCTGATGTTTAATACATTAGGTTTGTGTGTTTGTTCAATTCCCTCTGTATGAGTAACAGCAATAGTGACTCTTGACTTGACAAACAACTAATAACAATACCCAGGTTATGCAGCTGGGTTTACAGAAGGTCACTTAGACATACCAAGTTTTACCTCCCTCTGTAGGAAATGTATAATTCAGGTAGAATCAAGGTCCTCGTACACTGTTATATGCACAGTTATACTCAAACATTCAGTTCAGATAAATCATAGACTGACGTCAAGGAGATGTACTGCTTTTATGAACTCATGTCCTTTATGCATCTAATAAATGTCTTTAATTATACTCGTTTCCTCTGCATTAGTAGGAAATTTGTTGATGCACGTAGGTCACCAGTATAATCATGGTGAAATACGTTATTCATTTTCCATAAAAAAAACACTGACAGGTTTGTGTTTACCAAGGAATTATGAGCGCAAGTAGTTTAAATCATATTGTAGATGGTGTGCATCAGTGTGTGTGTGTGTCCTAACCAGGTGTCCAGTGTGCGAGTATGCCAACAGGAACACGAGTAGAGTGGCAGCAACTGTCAGCAGCTCCCAGAAAGATCTCCTTAGCGTTCTCCCGAAAACCCCCCATTCTCTCATGAAACGCAGCTGGTGTGATGCCTAAAAAGTGAGAAATGAAGTGGATGATAAATAATGCCTCGCCGGTTTGTATTTTCATACCATGAATTATTGCAGAATTAAAGGTGCTGTATGTACTTTTTTGACTGTACTAAAGCATAAAAATACCATAATATGTTTGCAGATATTTAGGAAACCTGCTAAGTTTAAAAACGTGTTTCTCTGAAAAACAATGCCACAGCCAGTTATTCTACTTTGAAATGTGCATTCCGTGTTGGAATGTCTGTTTTTGTTTTGGTCTTTGTGATTCCACTGCCAATTTACCCAATAGTATTTTGACACACTGGGTAGCCAGTTAGTGGAAAACAGCGTGCTGCAGCCATGGAAGCCAGCAAACAAACTGGGTCAGAGACTGCAGATTCTACCTAACATAAAAAGCCTCAGAATCCATCTGAAAGCTCTATGACTAGAGGCGTCTTAAATCGCATATAAATTAACTCATCAGCTTACAGTGTGAGGCTCGTCACCTTCCATTGTTAATTGCACTCGTTCCTCTTGCGTGTACTCAATCTGGCGACCTGCGTGAGCATCGAGCCTGAATAGGAGGGGGAAGGAGAAACAACTCCCTCCAATATTCTGAATTTGGACTGGACCGCTAGCTGTCAATATTATATATGGAACCTTTAAATATTTAGTGATGTCTGGCCTGATGTGTACAGGAGAAGAACTTGAGGTGGCAATTTATAACACCGCAGGTGTGTGTCTGCATACAGTAGCTTTCATTTTGTTGTCCCGCACAAACTAATTAGCAGGACAGTCCCGCTGGAATAACCTGAGGTTAAGTGCCTTGCTCAAGGGCACAATGGTTCATTCTTCTAGTTATCAGTTCTGAACCTCAACTATTACACGCCACACTAATCCATATGTATAAGCACAGGATAAATTTATAGTAGAGACTACCATTTATTAAGGCATGGCATTCTGTAGCTCAAACTGTAGAGCATGATTCTAGCAATGCCAAAGTTATGGGTTCGATTCCCATTTGCTCACCTTGAGAATCAGCAGGAAGAGCAGAGTCGCACTGAGTTGGGTTAGAACCTGGTTCTGTTGAGCCAGAGGAAAAAAGTCCATAAAAGTGTCCTGTTGTAGAAATGACCCCCATTGGTGGGCGGAGAGTATGGAGCGACTCAGGTGTAGCATGGCGACACAAATCGCCAACAGCAGACTGCAAACACTTGCTACATTCCACAAACGCAGGAAATAGCCACGGCCCTGTTTCCAAGCAACTGCGCCCTCACGTACAGCAAAATAGATCACGAAGACCAGCAGAAGGAGCTGTGAGAGAAAGAGAGAACTTAATGAGCCCCTATCTTTTTTCAGACAGCAAAAATGAATTAAATAATGAGATCAGCTGAGTGTTTTGTGATTGGCTGACGGTTACCGTCAGGAACAGGGGAAGGTCCATGCCATGACGGAGCGTGTGAAGGCTGCAGGTTTTGAGGTCCAGACTCAACTGAGCATGCTCAGATACAGGAAACTCCAGCAGGAACGTGAGGACGGCCAACAGATCGGTGTTGATGTTATAGAGGGGAAACTCCACGAATAGAGCCCTGGTCCTGAACACAAACACAAAACATCAGAGGACGGTCTGTATATTTCACTTTAGTCAATTACTCTACTGTGTTAGTCTTAGTGTTCCTGTGGCTCAGTGGTAGAGCATCGCAAAAGGTCGTAGGTTCGATTCCCAGGGAACACACATACTGGTAAAAAAATGTATAGCCTGAATGCACTGTAAGTCGCTTTGGATAAAAGCGTCTGCTAAATGCATAAATTATTCTTAATTAAATTAAACTATTACTGGAATATAAAATACTGTATTAATATTTGTGCCATGCAATAATTGAGAAATCAGTAAATAAAATAATCATGACATAATATAATATAATATAATATAATATAACATGTTTTACAAAAAATAAATTTTGCAATCAAAAAAATATTTGATTGATAAAAAACAAATATTTTTATTTTTTACAAATAATTTAATTGCAAAAGAAATCTTTAAATAAAGCAATGAATTATGACATGCCTAAACAAGGAAAAAAATAATCTAATATAATACAATACAATATAAAAAGTATACACGAAAAAAAAATGTCATACATTTTAAAATCTATTATAAAATTTTTTTGCTCATCAATCTGGTAATCAAAAATATTTAATTAATAAAAACAAATAACTTAATTGAAAATATTAAATCAATCATCTGGTAATCTAGCAATTATGAAAAAATGTAAAGTTATTTTCATTAGGTAATCATTACATGACTGATGATAACTGAATTTTTTGCTCAGTTTTGAGAAGCCAGTTGTTGTTCTTTCCTATATCCACATTTATACAGCTTATGTTTGAGGAAATTGATTTGATCAATTTCCTTAAAGGCCTATTGTGTGGTGCAAATGAGTGTGCAATAAATAGTCAATATAAAACAACTTTCCTCCAAAACAATTTCCTCTGTCTTTTGTTGAGCATCTCGTCACTGATTAGAATGTATTGGCTGTATATATCAGTGCCTGTGTGTGAGGTTATACTCACAGTGGGTCGAGCCACTGGTGTGTGTTGAGTTGTTTGATCAGAGCTCTAGAGTCCTGCATGGTCCTGCTGAGATCCTGCACGAATCCAGTACTGCTGTAGACAGACACCTGCCCCCAGTGCCACACACTACACACACATCAAACCTGCATGAGAACCTCACTGACATGTGGACGAGGCTCCAGAGCAGAGGAGGAAACAAAGACAACCTCTGAACCAGAAGACCTGATCCAAGATCAGCCTGGGTCATGATTTATTCATCTAGAGATCTGTACAGACTGAACGGATGCTGATCCAGAAGAATGACAACCGTGAGATCAAAAGCCAAATTTGGATGACAATAGTTTTAAAAGTGGTGTCATGTAAGAACAAAGCTTTTTTTAATCTTTTAGATTCAATTGCCTTGCCAATTGAAATTTGACCTTTTCCCAGCTGAATGAACTGAATGGTTTGCACAGGAGCTTCAACTCACAACTGACATTTCACTCTCTCGTGTAATGCATTCTGAGATTTTCAGTTTGGCCAAAAGGAAGACAAACGCATCATGTATCTCTTACCCGCTGCTCTCAGCTGTACTAATACTCCAGTTCTGCGTCAATCCTGAGGCTGACTCCGCCCACCTGGCCGAGACACACCCAAACCAAGAGGCTGCTGGGAAATAGCCAATGACGGGGCATTCTGGAAGACAGCAAGAAAGATGGGGGTCAAAGGTCATGAGTAATTCATCCATTCGTTTCCTAAGAATGTATTTAGTGAAAATTTAAATTAACAAAATTTGTTCGTCGTTGAAGTGTATTTTGAACCTGTTACTCATCTAGCTTATATAAATGTGTGTGTCTTAGATGAAAAATCAATTCAGAAATCAAAATCAAATCAGTCAGAATGAAATACTCTGTCTCAGTCTGACATTATCACTGCTGGAACACTCAATGTTCCTGTGAAAGTGAAAGAACATTTCATCCATCTGCGAGTGCTGACCTCTCAATGACAGGAATGAAATCACACACACGTTCTTTATACAGCCTTATGCAAATCCAGGAGCATACGACCAAAAAAGGTAATAAAAGCATGAAATGAGCCATTTATGTACATAATGCTTTCCTGAAACAACAACATTCTGTTTACAAACTCAGCATTTGATCATTCACGGTTGCCTTTGATTTTCTTCTTAAATTGCCATTAATTAAATAGCCATTTATATAATGAATTACCACTAAAGAATACGTTTCACTCTCTGACAGCAGGTGGCGCTTATGGAACAGTGGCGATATAGCGTTTCCTTGGTTACCGCTGTAAACAAAGCAGCGCTGCGCTTATATTACATGTATAATATTATATTACATTATATTTGTTATATTTTATAATATTTTTTTATTTATTAAAAAATAAATAAAATATATAATATATTTTAAAAAATAATAAAATATATAATATATAATATTTATATATTATTTTTGTCAAGCAACTGTGTTTATGTGCTGGTTGAGCACCTGGCTGATCTCTCAGCTGTCTGAGACGGGGTCGACCTATCAGCAGGCTGCCCGTCTTCTCCATCAGGTCGGGCCCATCCAGTAACCGTGGTAACAGGGCGTCTGAGAGCCATGCCCACACATCCTCACGTCTGCAGACAGAAGATCAGACAAGTTAGAGATGTGTGAGTGAATGTGTGTGTGTGTGTGTGTGTAACAAACGGTCTGTGACGCTCAAGAGAGGCTCGTGGTGTGAAACAGCATCCACCTGTCGAAAACACTACGTCAACATACAGTCAGCTCACCTCCTTCTGTCTGATATGATGCATCAACACACACATACACACTTCTGTCAGATGTAGAGTCTGACCCGACAGATGGGTGAACAAGAGAAACTAAACAACATGGAAAGACTGTGAAAGTGTCCTGTTAGGCAGGATTCAGCAGTGCATGGTATCCTACAGAAAAATATGTTTGTTTCCGCCTCTGAAACAACGTTTGTGCTGACGTAACCAAGACAGCTTGTGTGCAAAAAATTAACATACAATATTGTTATTTTAATAATAATATTAAGACGACCAATATTAATGTTTAATAATATTTATAAATGCTTTTATTTATGAATATTCACATTAATAAATATTTATATCAACATAATTAAATATTCATATTTATTCATTTTCACACTGATATCAATACAGCTATTAATATGATCAATATTCAAAATAATTTATAATACCAATAATAGTGACAATAATTAATATCAATACACGAATTATAAATTATAATTAATAAATACATTATTAATCAGCAAAAATGCTAATTAAAATGGTAAAAATGTAAATACTGATTAATATCAAATTATATTAAAATGTATTAGAACAGGAAAGATGCTGGCCTGCCAAAGCCTTGTCTAAAAAGTTTTAACAAGTTTTTAATGGTTTATAGAATTTAATTATACTTTTTAAATTAATTTTTTAAAGTTTAAAATCATCTTTTAATTCATCTATTATACATAGTTGTAAAACAAACTATTAATTATACATTATAATAACATACATACATAATAATAATAATAATTATAATTAAGAAAAATATTAATTTAAATAATAATAATATTAAATTAGGTAAATAGTTATTACTTAATAATATCAACTTTGAAATTAATATTAATTAGAAATTATGTAACATTTATTAGAAAAAGGAAGTTTGTTAAGATGTTGGCTTGCCAAAGGCTTGTCTAAAAAGTTTAAACTTGATGAAAACCCTTTAAAATATTGGTTTTACAGTCAGACAAAAAAAGCTTACACAGTCAGAACAGTCTTTAATCTCTAGTCTATCCCCTGTATTTGTTTGTAAAGCCAAATGAGCTACATCTGTGTGTGTGTGTGTCTGGTACCTGCTGATGTTGTTAAAGTGTTCTGTGAGAAAGTGCTCCTGCAGTTGAGTGTGAAGTCGTAGGCGATGGGCGTCTTTGGCCGAGTCTGAGTAGTTGAGCAGTAAAACCACCAGCAGGAACAGCATGTAGAGCAGGAAACCCTGTCGATCCGACACAAAACACATCTATTATTCAGACACCCATTCCTTCACATTCACGAGCGGCTCTGTCACCGCGAGGAGAAACACACGTCAATCACAGCTCAGAGAGTCTAATGAAAAGAAGCCCTTTAATCTCAGAGATTTCCTTGAAGTCCTTTGTTTCAAATCACAACCTGGCAATCACAGCGATGTTAATGGAGCACAGTATGGATGGTGGCTGTCAAATGTGACAAAGATGTCTTCAATGGCTTTATAATATGGGCTAATGCTAGTGTTGAAGCTATTTTGAAGCTAACAAAGGACTTCTAGGAAAACTATTGCGCTTTGACCAAATTATAAACTTTGAAATGAAGCTGTAATTCACTGCTGACTAAAACGAATCCGAATTTCCAGCGCTGTGACTGCCGTACCTTCAGCATGGTGTGCAGTAGGCGGACTTTGCGCGCCTCCTCTCGGGCCTGTGAGAGAGCGAACCCCTGCGGAGGCCTCACTCTTGGGATTCGCTGAACCACTCTCTCCACACGCGGACAGTCCACCAGAACATCCTGCTCTTCAGCTCTCAGACGGCCCACGACCAGAGAGAAATACACCCCCTCCGACAACACCTGAACACACACACAGAGCAGAATCAGCCAACACATCTGGACATGAAACTTTTTCACTCTTGATCTTCATCTTCACATTTCCAGGACAACTTATTTCACAACGTATCATATCTGTCATCTATGGAAGCCCATTTCTGCCACTGAATAAAAAATAAAAAAGTTAATTGCGACTTTTTATCTCACAATTCTGACTTTTTTTCTCAGAATTGTGTGATACAAACTCGCAATTCTGACTTTTTTTCTCAGAATTGCGTGATATACTCACAATTGCGAGTTAAAAAGTCATAATTGTGAGAGCTGCATGGATGCGCAGGGAGTTCTTGCCCAGAACAGAACCATACCGCCAATCCAAACTGTATGCTAATTGTCAATCATCTTTGACGATAGTGGTCCTGACAGAAATAAACTCGCAATTCTGATAAAAAAAGTCAGAATTGCGAGTTTTTATCTCGCAATTCTGACTTTATAATTCTGACGCAATAACCTTTTTTTTTTTTATTCAGTGGCGGAAACGGGCTTCCACGCAAGTTAGTTATTTATAATTATACACATTAATAAATATTAATAATTAAATAATAAACATACATATTTATTATCAATATTCATATTTATTATTAATATCAATAATAATCATATTGATTCAACTTAACTATGCATTATAAATTATCATTTAATTAAATGACATATAATATAATTATTTAAGTATAAGGCATTTTATAAATGTTAATATTTATTAGAATAACTTTATTTAGAAATTATTTAGAAAATAATATTAATACTCATTTAAAAAATGAAAAGAAAATGTAAAACTTATTGCATCATTATTTCAGTGTTTATCTGTTATCCACATGAGTAAATGCAAATATTTATGAATATCAACATTAAAATATTAATAGACAAATAAATGTTCATATGCATTTAATATTCATATGGATATCAATACTAATATGAATATTATGGATATTCAAAATTCATAATATTGATATAAATACAAATAATCAAACTTAATAAATACATTATAATTGATTAATTATAAGTAATAAATACATTATTCATTTAAATAATAATAATAATAACAAATCCAAATTTGTTACATGCTAATATTTATTAATTTGAATTATACATGAATATTAATACTCATTAAACAGAACAGTTTGTCAAGACGATCTCTTGACAATCTTGGCTTGCCGAAGTCTTGCCTGAAAGAAATAAGTGGAACTAATTTCACACAGTATCATTACTCCAGTGTTTATTTATGTTATTAACATTTATTTTTCTACACATTTTTTAAAGACACTACTAAAACTACAAAGCTCACTGAACCTTGGAAGGCAACTTCAATGATGATGAGCATTACTTCAAATCAAATTATTTGAAAGGTCATATTGATTCATTTATCCCTCCTGAAAAAAAAAACCCCCTACATTGATCAGCTTACGCGGGTTTGCTGGTAACAACAGGAATTCAAAGAAGAGCTTTCACACCAACCGAAAATATACTCAAATGGCAAAAAAACTCAGATCTATACCAAAAGCTTCACAAAGTGTGAAAAACTGCTGTCATGTGTGTATGTACCTTCAGAGGTTCGAGAAGGAGGAATGACGACAGGAAACTGACAATGCAGGAGATGAGCCACATCAGAGCCACGCCCTCGCTGAAGCTCCGCCCCAACCACATTGATAGGCTGCTGGACAGGACAAGCCCCACCCAGCTGGCCCACAGAGCAGCCAATCCACACAGAGGAGGAAACGGCCTGGGCTTACACACATCCGTCACCACTGAGACGTATATAGAGAGAGAGACGTTCAGATGTTTGTGTCTGTTTCTGAGGTAAAAGTGGTTTTAGAAGAGTGTGTGTGTGTACCTGTGCGTGATGTAAAGGCAGTTTTGGGAGGGTCTCGTCTAAATGCTGCACACGGAACAGGTTCATTCATCTTTTGCAGCAGAATCACCTCTGTTTTATCACCAAATATACTGGAGCTAAACACAAACAACTTTCATTCAGCAAGGACGCATTAAATTGATCAGTAAAGACATTCATAATGTTATAAACGATTCCTATTTCAAATAAATGCTGTTCTTTTGAACTTTCTATTCATCAAAGAATCCTGAAAAAAGTGTCACACTTTCCACAAAAATAATAAATAACAAAAACTTTCAACATATAAGAACCATTATTAATAATTGAGCACCAATAATGATTGATCATTTAAATTGTAATAATATATCACAATATTACTGGTTTTACTGTATTTTTTTTCATAAAAAACAAAAAACAAAGCAAAAAATAAAACCGCAACCATAAGAGACATAAAAAAAAACCTTTTGAATGATAGTGTATTTGTTATAAAAAAAAATGTTTAAACAGAAATTTGAATGAGGCATTCATGCAATTGAAAGACAAAAAACAAGCTGAGCGCTGAAGAACAACCACCAAATTTAGGATGAATCTGATGCCATTTCAGTCACATGCACGACTTTACTACCTTTGTGTGCATCTGAAATTTCCCAGTCAATATTAATAAAAGTATTTTTTTAAAATCTCATCTTAATGAAACTTTTCTCGTTTTCCAAGCATCAAATTTAAGACCTCTGCGGACGCCATTCAAGATTTTTTTTCTGTGCTATTCAAGACATTTTATGGCCTTACCTTTTCAAAATAATGAATTTAAGACATTTTAATTGTTTTTAAGGATCCACTGACACCCTGAAGTACAGATGAGAAACTGCGGTGTGACTTACAGATCGCCCGTGTCACTGTCCGTCTGAGACAGCAGCTGTCCATCGGCCAGAATGCGCTTGATTAGATCCTCATCTGTCAATCAAAACCAGCATCCAGTCAACAACCATCTCTATTCTTCTGACACATGCACTAAGTACATACTAAGTATGCAAAAGATAAACACAAGTACAGGAGAGGAAAGAGGGCAGTGTGTCACCTGAAGAGGAGAAGTATTTGTTCCTGTGGCTGTTGTCACAGACAGTGTCCTCCTCGTCGGGACTGAAGGGAATGTCCACACCCAGATGTCTGCTGCCCTGACCTCTCTTGAGCCGAGGCGGGAACACCGGCCCCATCTCCACAGACAGGTCGGTCAACACATCCGGCCAATCACAGTCAGGAATGCTCCACCTCTGAAGACTACAGCAGAGATTCAGTCTGATTCGCTCACTGATTCACTTGCTCATTCTCTCTTGTACTGACTCACATTCAATCATTCACTGACTCTTTGATTGACTTGCGCTCAATTCAATCACTTTTTGAATCATTCAGTCATTCACTCACTAATTCATTTACTCTGATTGATTCACACTCACTCGATCAGTCAATCACTGACTGTTTGATTCACTTACGCTCAATTCATTCACTTTCTGAATCATTCTTTAATTCAGTTATTTACTCACTAACTCATTCATAATCACTCGTTCAGTCATTCCTTGATGCTTTTATTCACTTGCGTTCGATTCATTCATTCACTCACTAACTCATTCACTATGACTGATTCACACTCAGTCATTCACTGACTCTTTGATTAATTTATGCCCAATTCATTCAAGTTTGAATCAGTGTCTTAGTCACTGACTAACTCATTCACTCCGATTCATTCATATTCACTCATTCAGGCTTTCATTTACTTTTGAACTCACTCACACTCACTTAATTCGTTCACTTTTTGAATCATTCACTTATTCAGTCATTCACACTCACTCCATGAATTGGTTTTCATTCACTTATATATTATTACTTAATTTTTAAGTTTTAGTAATTTTGATTTTTTTTTATTTATCATCTAATATTATATTTTATTTCAGCTTTATTTAAATTAATGAAAACAAATTTTAATAGTTTTAGTTAACAGTAACAACACTGATTGACTCATTTATTCATTTGTTAATTCTCTCTCAATTAGGCTAGTTATTCACTCTTGCATTAAGTTGTGTGTTGGATGTAAAGGATGTTTTTAACACCTCTGAGGTGTGTTTTAGCGTGTCAGTAACCTCTTGCTTACCTCTTAGTGGACGGCGTGGGCAGGTCAATGTTGGTCTCCTCTGAGTATGTCTGCAGCGAGAGAGAGAGAGAGAAACAGCACATGTTGAGCTCATTCCTCTGCAGGAGCACAATTCACTCAGTTCATCTCAGGATACATGTATATATATATATATATATATATATATATATATAATATATATCTCAGCTCATGCTGATGTGCTTCACATTCACTCCCCTCACATTTCACGGCTGGAATCTAAATGAAGCTTCTTGTCTCAGTTTTGTACCTCATACTTCTTCAGACTCTCAATCTGTTCATCATGTTTTGCATTTTAATAAAAAACGGCCTGGAAATGTGACATTCGGTGACGGCTGTGACAGACTCAACTGCAGCACATTTAAATGTTATGAAGACGACAAAAGCACCTTTCAAGACTCAGACATTCATTTTCAAACCAGTTTATTTAATTTGTCCTCCTAGCGCACCACAGAGAAATGCCAACAAATCAGCTATGACTTTGAGAAACATAATGAGAGGAAGGTCTTCGAGAAGGTTTCTCTCGGCCTTTGTGTTTCTGTGCATCAATTGGAACACGCAAACAAAGTATTCGGCAAATGCATTTCAATTTGCACGTCATGAAAGGAACGAGAGAAACACATCTGGGTCTCTGTCAGAAATAAATAAAAATACATATATTGTATTCTCCCTTTGAATGACAGATACACTGGCATCAAAGTCTCAGGCAGAAACTGTTCAGTGACAGACTGTTATATACTGCAGTGCTCAGGCTCAAACTGTGCACAGAGGTCGTCAAGAAGTAAATAATGATGTGTTATTTGGATTGTAAAGTATTTATACATTATTGTAATTATGTGCTGCTTTTAATTAATGCTATTTTAATTAACGATCCAAAACAGAATCATTTAGTACAATGAGAGTCTAATGAAATTCTTCAATCAGTGTAATGTAAATGTTTATATATATATATATATATACACACACAGACACTTACATTTGTTTATTTAGCAAATACTTTTGTCCAAAGTAACTTATATTAACAATAGAACACAATGCCAAGGTTTAGTAAAGAACTAGATTATTAAACAATGTAGAAGAGGTGAAAAGAAGAGAAAGAGAAACTGAAATAAATAAATACATACATATTTTTAAATAAATGAATAATAATAAATAATTATAAAAATACATATACATAAATTATTATAATAATAATAAAAAATATTTTTTAAATTAATTTTTTTTGTTTAAATACATATATGAATAAATGAATGAACAGATATAAATGTAAAATATAACAAAATATAAAAATGTAAAACAAATAAATAAATATAAAAACACATTTGATAAAAATAATTAAAATAAAGAAAAAGTCATTAAGAAATATAAAAATACTTTATAAAAATATAATACAAAAATACAAATGCATATAAATACAAAAATACTAAAATAATGTTTTCTTCCCCACACATTTGTGCACAGTAAGTGATGTGTAAATGGAAAATGATGCAGAAGTATAAAGAAGCTGTACTAAGTAGGCTGTTAACAGTAATACTAATTAAATTAAGAATTATAAAAATACTTTAAATAATACTTTATATAAAAATAAATAAAAATTAATCAACAAAAGAACAAATATAAATCTACTTATAACCAATCAAAACACAAACAAATAAATATAAAATTACTTATAAATAAACAAAAACAAATATAAAATTCATTTGAATATAAACAAACAAATAAATAACAGCTATTTTTAGTTAGTTAGTAGTGGTTTCTGTTTGTGGAGCAGTGGAAATCACAGTTATGTACTTCTCCAACCGAATTTGAACATACCTCTCCAGGAATTCCATTCAGCATCAGACAAGAGCTTCCTGTCAGTGAGTTATCCAGGAAGTCATCGATCTCTAAAGACTCCTGGTCCACCTGAGGAGGAAGCTGCTCCACAGAGACCTGGCCGTCATTAACAGAGAAACAGCTCTTTCATTTACCACACCGCTGCGGTGATGTCTTTAGAGATGATTGTGTGTGTGTGTGTGTGTCTCACCTTACTGCGGCTGAGTCTAAACAGACAGAAGACGAGCAGGTAGACAGGATAGACCAGCAGACAGCTCACAAGCCCCGCCCACAGCGTCTCCACATTCACAGAGACCAGAGCAGACACCGGCGTAGAGCTAAAACACACAATCATACAATCAATCACAATCATACTTTCTAACAGAATGTAATAGCTCAGTAAAGCATCATGAACGGCGCTGCTTTTACCTGTTGCCGTAGGAGACGGTGCCGTACCACACTGCGTTCGCCAGCATGCAGAGGTGCATGAGCAGCGTGCAGGAGGTCAGCCGCTGCAGCCGCGTGAAGGGGCTCCGCGGAGGTCGTTCCCATAGCGACAGCCATACGTGGCTCTCACACACGGCCCTCTGCAGCTCCCAGGACAGCAGCCGCGGCCAGTCACGCAGCTCCGCCTCCTCTGCACACAAGAAACACAGAGGTCACACAACAGGAAGCTTCTTAGCACAGGTTATCAGTTGACACTGGCGTGCGCTGCTCTTTCACTCGTTTGTGCGCAGTAAGTGATGTGTTAATGGAACACCATGCAGAAGTAAACATCCGCTGTACTAACCAGGCTGTTAACAGTGATACTAACTAGCTACCTAACTAGCAGCCCTCTCTGACTGAGCAGTGTTGGGTGTAACACATTTCAAATAAAGCACACAAAAGAATTAGATTATGTTGTATGATCAAATTTGCAAGTTACAATTTGCAAGTTTCTTTTTCAAATAAAAAAAAATTACATTTATTGTTTACTAATTATTACAAACACAAAGCTATAATTTTTCAATATTTGTACCCTAAAACTCATGCGATCATTATTTAATATTAAAATGTCATTATAAAATATTTAATATTATACTTATTATTTCTTATTTTCTTATTTCTATAGTACATAGAAATATATTTATTATATTCTTATTTCTATAGTATATAAATATATAAAAATGTATTTATATTATTTTATATTTACATATTTACATTCATTTTTATTATTCATATATTTGG